TATGAAAATTCATGCTTTTTATTGTAATAATGTCTCTACAAATAACAATTTAACATGAAAACATTTTGTTACTTAATTCTCATCAGAATTCTGTTATTTTATTAATTAAAGCTATATATTTGTTGAGTTTTAAAACAATTTTGTTATTCTCATATAAGTCTATTTAATATGTTTTTGCAATATATTATGCATTTGTCTTCCCCTTCTTTTTGACAAGACTTCTAAATTCTTTGCCAATTTTATGCATTTCAAGTATAGTGCGGCTTTGAGAGAACTCCCCGAGACTAAAAGTCTGGGGCTGTGTGCTACTATGGTAACAAGCGAGGGCACATTTCTAATGGGGGTGATATGTAGGAAAGAAGGTGTCAATTGGTTTACTTACGACAACCTATGTCAAGATTAAGACAAAACTATTCACCCCTATTTAAAGTTTCCTTTCCTCGTAACCATAGAGACAGTTGTCTGGAGGAGTTCTCCTACTATACTTCACCATCATGCTTCATATTGTAGTAGACAGCCATAATCTGTGTTAAATTTTAATTTTCGTAATAAAGGTTTTTTACAGTTTTGTTTCTTTATTTCGTTATTAATATAATTCTATTTAAATTGTTGTCTTATTGATAGTGAATGTTTGTGAAATTCACTTAACTAAGACAATGACACCTTAAATCATAGTATTAAAAAAATTATTTTGTTGATTTTGAGAAACTCCCAATAAAGTTTTATTTGGATAAGTTTTCCCAATGATCAATATATTCTACAGCTTATAAAAATCTCTATCATGAACTAGGTTGAGTCGACACATCTTCAAATATCCCCATTAAAAGTATTTATTTTAAAACATGCTATGATTCAACTTTTTATGGTATGGCAAGTTTTTTATTGTAAGAAAAATAATTTTCAGCTTAGGGCTCCAATAGAACTAAAAAGACTTATACACAAATATGGATTTGGAGGCCCACAGTGGGACAAAAATCTATTTTTTGCAATCGAAAATGGAAAAAACTGAGTATTTTTAAGAATTATATTTAAAATGATTTTTTTTAATAATAAAATATCTAAAGAATATGATAGTGAACTTCATTTTGTTGTTATATGAATATTAAGTGCAATAAAATTCAGATCAAGTTAACCTAAAAAAATTTTGGATTGATTTTTATTTAAATGATTGGATAAATTAATATTTTAGCCAAATTAACAAATACTAGTGACTAATTTTTTTTGTTGTTGTTGCTTTTAAAGTAAATTACTTTCATTTGGCCTGGAGCTATGTAGGGCTTTTTTTTTTTGTTGTTGCCCTTCCAAAAAATACAACTGAGAAGAGGAAGAGTCAAGATATAGAACTGGTCTCCTCCCCAGATGGTGTGTTTGAGCGTTGCAATCCCAAATATTTAGAAATATGAAAATGACAATTAATGGTTGTTTTTTTAAAAATCATTTTCATTTATATATTGAAAGGTCATTAATACAAATTTATATTTAATTTTCCTATAAATATGTATTGTTAACAATACATATTGTTTTGTTTTAATATTTTATTGCGATAAACAGTTTTCAAATATCTTTTAGGTTAAATTTATCGAAATTTTGTTGCCCTTATTGTTTATTTAACAGCAAAATAAAGTGCACTGGCATTCCTTGGACAATTTACAACAAAGAAACATATTAAAAGTATCACTTGGAAAAAACACATTTTTGACAACAATAATTGATTTTTGTCTTTATGTGAACCTTAAAAAAGACCTTATTTTTCTTTCAGAACCTTAAAAAAAAACCTAATTATAACTCTAAGACTTAACTGCTTTAATATTGTTCCACTGACTATTCTTAGTGCAATAAATTTTGATGATTCTTGATCGCAATGCTCGAATACACCATCTGGGGAAAATGCTGGGTCCATCTCCTAATACTCTACTAAGTTGTATAGGAATAAACTGCAATATTTTCCTCTTTCTTGATCTTTTTCGTATTTAATTGTCAGAAAAATTTCCACGACACTTTCTTTTAGAACTATGTTCAATGTACTTTTAATTTCCTAACTTAAAAGTTTGTAATCTATTTGAAAATCAAGACAGAAACTAGCATACTTCCTTCTCCTACGACACTCTACACTGTAATGGTGAAAGCATGTGAAGTGTTGCCATAGGTAAAGAGTTCTGCTTATAGTAAAGAAATTTTTTTTTATTAATGCATCTTTTCAAAAATATACTTTCATAATGCATGTTTCAAAAATTGCACTACTTTAAATTGCGTCACTTGAAATTATTATAAATTATCATTGTTTTTAATTACAGTACTTATTATAGTTTTAATATTTTTAATCATAAAGCAGATAGTTCAATTAATTAAGATCAATACCTTTCATAAATAAATGTGATTCAAATAGTAATAAGAATGAAAAAATACAACATGAAAATAAAATTTTATTTATAAAATATCAATATATTTTGAGCTTTTCTTTTTTAAATTCTTCAATATAAATATCACAATCAAAATTTGCTTAATACTCTTAATAAATAAATGTGATTGAAAATATACAACAGGAAAATAAATTTATTTTTGAAATGCCAATGAATATTTTGGGTTTTTCTTTTTTTCACGAATTTAAATGATATTCAACATTTTAAAAATTTATCGATACTTAAATTTAAAATTATATAAAACTTCTCACGAGTTTATAAGTACAAATAATTTATTTTTCAGAATTCATAATACCAGATTTTTTTGTATTATCAAGTATGATTTTAGCTTGCTCCTCATTTTTCATCTAAAAAAAATTATATTGATGATTGTTTTCTGAGAAAATACAGGGAGATTTTTCAGCTAACTGTAACACAGTCCCTATTGTTAAATACATTTCATAGTCTAAAATTAAATTCATACATTAGAAACTTCCTACAAGTTTTTAAGTACAAATAATTTATTTTTCTGAATTCATAATACCAGATTTGTTTGTATAATCAATAAGTATGACTTTAGGTTGTTCCTGATATTTCATCAAAAAATAATATATCGCTCCTTGTTTTCTGAATATAACACATGCCTTATAACTAAATAGATACATAAGAAACTCCTTACGAGTTTCTAAGAACTGATAGGTAATTTTTTTTCAGAATTCGTTATACTAGATTTGTTTGCGTTATCAACAAGTATAATTTTAGCTTGTTCCTGATGTTTCAACAAAAAATAATATATAGATGCTTGTTTCCTGAGCATAATACAGGGAGACTTTTCAGCTAACTGTAACACATGCCCTAATATTAAATACATTTCTTCTGGTCGTACAAGAAAAAGTTTAACTGTTGTGGATAAAAGATTGCTTAAAAAGATTTCATCTTCAAAATCTTGCTCAGTATTCACAAATTGTTCAATAATATAGGGAGAATTTTTCATTTCCTTGCCATAATTTCCAATAAGTTTTAGCAAAGAAAGTTTCCCGCTCTTATTACTCAATCTTTGGGATTGTTGTGAAATAGCCTCTAATGCTAAGTCTTTTAATACAGTTAATTTACTGAAATCTAATTCTGATAGAGAATTTAAAATGTCCTCATTGAGATTGTTATATGTCAAATCAATCAAACTTACAAAGTCTTTATAATTCTCAACGGGATATAACTTAAGAATTGATATATAGCTTTGTATGGCTTGATGCGAGACATCTTTTTCAATGTCGCAACAATACAGCAGGAACTCTTCTGCCATTTCAGATGCATTGTTACAATCGACAAAATGAACCAAAATTTTTAGTTTCTTCACCTTGATAACAGCCGAGTCACTGAATTTGCATATTAAGAGATCTTTACTGGGAAAGAAGACATCTTTGTACTCTGGTAGAAATGACTCTACAATCTCCAACAATGCAAAAAGCAGTTCGTTGGTGGAGGAAATCAACAAGAACTTCAACTGAGGAAAAATCTGCGATAAAATATCCCTGGAGAAATTTTTTTGCAAATGATTTATATAACAGATGGCAACATCAGCAGCCAAAGAAAAAACAGCTGGGTTTGAGTTTAGTAACTTCTCATCGAGTGCATTGAGAAAACTTATGAGTTCCTCAGAGTTTTTTGGAGTGTACTTTTTGAGAACCATGTATAAAACTGCAAAATTCCATTCTTGGAATTCCGAAATTCTGGAAACCAGGTAAGCAATCATTTTAGAATTCACCACTATTCCACCATCAAATTGCAAAATCTCTTCCAATGCAGAAAGACAGCTACATATAACGGAGGGGTCAGGATCTCTTATCATCTCGTAAAGCTTGTTTATGATGTCTTGATTGGCATCAATATTACTTTCATTTATAATTAATGAACTTGAAGTGGCGGCAGTAGAACGCACATAAGCACTTGGGTCTTCTAAGGCTTTAGGCAACAGTTGAAATGCCAGTTCAGATAAACATTCAATGGATGAAGCAGTTTTGATTACCAACTTTCTCATATATGGATTTGGATCTTGAAAATCTTTTAATAGACTATTGGTGGCCAGAATATTCAAATCCGAAATTTTTGATGAATATCTATAAAAAAAAATATCAGCATTTTATTAAAACAAGTATATAAGCAGGTTAGTATATGTGTGTACATGATATAATATACAGGGATGATTGTGAGCCCTATTCAAAAATCCTGAAAATTTCTTTAGTAAAATCATGAATGACGAATTCCAAAAAATTAATGTCTATATAAATTTAAATCATTGACAGAAGCCAACTTGCTCTAAACAGCAAATAAATATTTTCGAGTGGTAGTTTATTAACGTGTGATTCTTGATTTAATAAATTCAATTTATTATGTTTTTATCCACCACTATTTATTAATTATTCGAAAGTTTATATAATTCACCCTTTTGTTTTAGTTATGTCATACCAGACCATTTTAAAAGTAAGCAAAATTAGTTAAATATTTGCACAATTTTATTTCTAGTAGTTTACAGCTATTTAAATTATTATGGTGTTCCCGAAGCATTTGGCATCGTACATGAAATTCTAAATAAATTATATGCAGTATAATTTAAATTAATAATTATTTTTAAGTTTAATTTTATCTCTAATCACATTTACTATTCTACCAGAAAAAATATTTACAAATGGAAGAGATGCCAAGTATAAATTCTAGTTCAAATATTTTTTAAACAAAATATACAAGAATTTTTATACATAAATGTGATTGATGATTTCTTTAAGTTTCTGGACCTTGAATATCCGGATGGCGGTCAACGAGAAATCCAAAAATCCAGATTTTTCTCCGGGGCACAATCATTTCCGAATATGTATACACAGTGAAACCTCCGTTAAACGGACATTCTTGGGACCGAAAAAATTGTCCGTTTACGGGAAGGGTACCCTAATAATGAAGTTTAACACAGTAAACTGTTTTTAGTGTATTTTCAAAGATGTAGAAATAATTAAATAATCTACAATAAGTATCTGCAAAGATGTTTATTTAAACTTAACGAAAATGAAAAAAAGAATTTATAAAGAAGTTTTATATGAATACATAATATTAGATGCAGATACAGATAAATGAATATAATTTTCCTATCAGTATAGATACTTAAGTTAAACATATGATATCGAATAGGAGCTTTCAGTCCTCAGTTGGTTTCAATTATTAGGTTTACATCCCATTACACCTACCTATCATTTGATAGAGAACATGGTTAATACCTTCTTGAAAGTAAACCTCCCAGAATTCACATGGAAAAAAAGCAATGCCTGTATTTAAGTCATGAGAACATATGGAGTTGATTCTTCACAATCGATCAGCTATCAAGTGTCTGAATAAATGTTTCATTTATGTGAACACCTCAAAAATTACACTTCTGCTCTCTTTTTTACCCCACTTGTGTTAAATACAGTCTTCAAATTGATAAGAAAATTAAAGAAATTTTCAATGGGGAAGAAGGGTTGAGAGCATTTAAGATGTCATTTCAACTTGAGGGATCTCATAACATGTGTGGTCCAGATGAAAGGATCAAAAGATGCGGCTGTCTGAATTCTTTCAGAAGAGCAGTATCATTTTCTCTCCTTTCTTTACATTGATAAGGCAAGGTGACAGGAGGAAGATAGATTCTTCAGTAGTGAAATAGCTTAACAATATTTTTAGTTATTGATAAGACAAAAAATTTGCAAGTTTTGAAAATGACGAAAAGTTGCTTTTTCCGCCTCGCAATTTAAAGCAGAAATAGTTTTTTTTTTCAAATTTAGAGAAAGTAGTGATCAGTTTGAGGAGATAGAAAATAACGTTTCAGGGCCAATATAACTGTCCGCGTCCGCTTACAGGAGTGTCCAATTTGCAGAGAATGTACATAATGGTTTATGCATAGAAGATTCCCGGGGAATTAAAAATATGTCTGTATTGAGAGGCGTCCGTTTTGCAGGAGGGTACATAACTGGAGGTTTCACTGTATATAGATGCAGGGTTGCCACTAAATACTGTAACACTCCAAAAATTAGGAGTTAATTTTAATATTTAGGTAAAAATAATTGCTTTCTCTCTCAATTTCTGTGAGTGGCACTTTCTATAAATATAGAAAATTTTTGTTAAGAGCAAAAAATGTAGAATCAGTTTAAAGATGGAATCGTAAAGGTTGATGGTTAGAGAGCTTTTTGATCTCGGATTTTCTACTGGTAGAATCTTAAAGCAACTAAAACCTCCTGTCTCTAATAGAACAATTATATTTCGAATTATAAATCGATTATTGGATACTAATAGCGATAAAGATGAGCCAAAGTCTGGTTGACCACGCTCAATTCACAACGTTCTGCTAATAAAATGGCTGCAGAAGATAAATTGAGTCATACAACTACACAAGTTATATTAAATGAAAACATGGTTTTATGCCCTTATTGCAAATGAAAAGTTCAAGGTTTGACTATTGTACAAAAATTAAAAAGGTTACAAACACGTACAAAATTTCTGAACTGACGCGGTAACAAAAGTGTTGACAGAATAATCTTTTCGGATGAGAAAATATTTTGTACTTGAAGTTATAGTACTAAAATAATGTTGCAAATTCGGCAAACTTTGATAATAAACCTGAAAATGTTTGAACTGTACAACACTTTCAGTACAAGAGTTCTGTAATGGTTTGGGCTGCAGTGTCAAGTAACGAAAAATTTCCTCTGAAATCCATCAATAAAGGGGTAAAAATTTATTCTGAATATTACAAAAAGGAAGCATTAGTTACACATTTATTTCCACACGCTGACAGATAGTATCCCGAAACAGATTAGATATTACAACAAAATTTAGCACCACACTGAACCAAAACAAAAAAAGGCTTGGATCAATATCATTTGCTTGAAGTTTATCAAGCAAGAAGATTGGCCACCTTCATCGGATCTAAATCCATTAAACTATTGTGTTTGGGGTATTTTAGATTTTAAAGTTAATGCTAAGCGGCACAGAAATTTTGACCATCTCAGACTTTCTTTATAGCATGAATGGGACAAATTACCACTTAAAATTATTCATGCCGACATCAGACTATGGCGTAAGATATTATCTTTATTAATCAATAAAAATGGTGGTTGATTCATATAAAATATTTTAATGTAAACTTCTATTTATAGTGTTCATCATATTTGAGTATTCATTATTTTCTATTTAATATGTGCATAATAAAATGATTTGATATTTGTAACGATAGCCACCCTGTATATATTCAAAATGTAAATGATTAATTAGGGTGAAATAGTGAACTTTTGTAACTACACATTACTTGAAATTATGAAATGAAATTACTATAACTTCAATAATAGAATATAGTTTGAACGCGCTTTAAAATTAATCAAAATAACATAACAGTTTTTAAGGTTGATAACAAAAATTTCAAAGATAAGAAAACTTTGTGATTGAACTTTATTTTCAAATGACTCTAAAAATAGCAACTGCAACAAATTATTCTAACACATTTAATTATATCAAATAAAAGATTAGACTACAATAAGCTATTGTCAATCAAATAATACATTTTTCCAATTAAGTACATGGGCAATTTTTGTTTGAATCTCAATAATCTTATATATATTGAAATCTAAATTATTAACCTAATTAAAATATGTTTGTTTTCTACAGAAAACTTAAGACTTAATGAAGTAAAACATTTTATTTGGATATTTAATATGCAAAAATATATTTAACGTACAAAGTAATTTGACTAGAAATATTATTTTGAATAGAGTATCTGTAACATCGATGCAAATAAAATATTATAGACTTTTTATGGACATATGAAAAACAAACTATTTTTTAACAATATTTTATAATAAAAATTTTTAAAAAAAATACATATGTATAAAAAGTGATTAAACACATATTGTTTTACAAACATAGCACTGATGAAAAAATCGTACTTCTTAATATAAAATTAATGTGTACTGTTTAAACAATTTTTTTAGTAAACATATAATATCAAACAAAAGATTTTTTTAAGAAAAATATAATGAATTTATTTACAATACAAATTGAGCGTTTGTATAATATATTTTACTTCTCGACCATTTTCTTTCATATTGGTATAAATTTACCAATATTGATTACTGATTCTTTTCAGAATTTAAAAATTTAGAAAAAATGCTACAATCAGAAATTTTTTTCTAGGGCAATTCTAGCATTTATCTAAATTATGTTTCCAGACTTTAAATTATTAAATCAGTTAAGAAAAAAAATCAAGAAGCTCTAATATTACTAAAAATTTAAAAATAAATAAAAAAGCTTTTAGTAAAATTTACATTTCTCTATGTTTTAGTAATTTTCATAAGCTAAAAAACTTTTTAAAAATTAAAAACAGGGTGTTATGGGTTTAACACAATATGTAACACAAAGATTTTCATAAAGATAAAAAGGGCAGGGGTGCTTTTTCAAAAACAAGAGCACCTACTGTTTGAAAGAGTACTAATCTTACAAATTATAAAATATTTAGCTATTATATTTAGCTAGATTAATGCTCTTCAAAATAATATTTAAAATACTAAAAAAAATATGAAAAATAATGTTTTACACATAGCGTAAAAATAATTTGCAATAGTTATAGTTATCTGAAATTACTGATTTCTGTTAAAAAAATTTGTTTTCTTTCTTAAAAAAAAAGGGTAAAAATATGTTGTTGTTTTAATAAGAAAAAGAGAAAATTTTTACAAAAAGGGCAAGTGGATGCATTTATCTCTGCAAAAAGGCAGGGTGGATGGGGCTACCCTTCAAAAACACTTAGGGAGAACAATGTTACATCCCCAATAGCAAGTTTATTAAAAAAAAAAAAAAAAAGTCAAATAAAAATAAGACTAAGTAGGTAGTTATTAAAAAAAAATTTTTTTTTTAAATATTACATGATTTTTTAAAGCTGAACTACACACATTTTAAGCTTGCAAACATGACCTTCTGAATGATGGAATTATCCTTTGAAAAAATATCACAAGAAATATATATAGAAGCTTGGATGTGGTTTATTTTTATTTGAAAACAAATTTTAAAAAAAGATTTTTTCACAAGTGCAGATTTTTTTTTTTTTTGGCTATTCCCTCTTCTTCCGAAACATAGAATATTTTTTTTAACTTGTTCAACAATTCTTTCCAAATCAGGGTAGACAGAAACAGTCATAAGAATTTGAGAAAGATGAAATGGTGAATTCTTATTCTAATTTTTCCCTCAAAGGTTATTTTTAATACAGATATATGTATATATAGGTATACAGCTTTTGTTATATGCTTTGGCAAAAATAAAAAATTTCTTTTTCCCCTAGTATATTCAGAAAATCTTTTAACAGGTTACTAAAATAACTACTGTAGCAAAAACCATGATTTATTATTATTATTTTTATCAAGTTTTACCATTTTATTTTACTTTCACTAAGGGCAGTAGGAGTCATTGGGCATTTACCAATAATGGTGAAACTGTCCTTTTTCGATGTACCTTTTCTCAACATCTAAGTAAGATATTGCTTTAGTTTTTTTCTGAACTTTTAGTTTTTCTTTTTTTTAAAAAGTTTCAGCAAAAATTTTTCAAAACTCAAGAATTCCTGTTAATGCTAAAACATTATCACAAGATACAATTGATATAATCTCAAATATCCCCAAAAAATTTCAAAACGATATCATAAGTAGTTTCTTAGAAAAGGTACATAGAAAAAGGTTAGTTTTAGCATTAATGATAATTGTCTCACCGACACCCCTTGAAAGAAATATTTTCAGCGAAACAATTTTTCCCACAATTGTGAGTACTTACTAATATTGATAAAATAACTGAATTCTTTTGTTTATTTTATTTCTCCCACAAACTAATTTTTAGTATACTTTTTAATGAAAAGATCAAAAATTATAAAAATAAATAAATAATAAAAAAAACATTCTTTCAATTTACAAAACACAATTTTTTTTACCTGGTTAAAAAAGAATACATCACTTTTTTTAACGGAGGAGATGGCAAAGCCAAGTATTTTATAATTTTCCCAGCCAACGGAGAAGCATCAATATTTTTCATCATGATATTTAATATCTGAAAATATATTATATTGATTTATAACTTATAAGAACAATGCTATCAAAGTAGTTAAAAATCAAAAATAACCAGTTTGTCATTAAAACAAATGCTTACACATGTTGAGAGTTCAAGATGTTTTCCCTCAGATTCTAGAGAATCCAACTCAGACATCAGGGAAGAAAGGGAAGTCATTTTGCAAACTCAACTTCAGCTGTGCAAAATGTTAAAAAATGAGATATTGATAAGTAGAGTTCACATTTCACACATGCAATGGAAATTTAGAGGTCTAATATAACCACCTAGGTTATCATTCAGTGGTTCAAAAAATTAATATGGTAGACAAACTTGAGAAGAAAAAAATATTGAACTTTACAAATGCAAATTCATGTTATGGTATTCATCAAAAGTTTTTATGTCGTCTATAATATTTATTGTCATCTATAACACCCTAAAACTAATTTGGTTCCATACCAAATAATTATTAAAGATTAGAATTTATTAAAATTCAGTGAAAAAAGTTTAAATAATATTAGTAAATAAATTCAACATACATATTAAAAAAGTAGAGATCAAATAAATGAGTAAAACAGAGAAAGTAAAAACTAGCAAAATATTATATTAAAACTTATCTTAATAACTTTTTCTTTGGTATTTGGCTCTATTGCTGAATATTCGGTTGGCCAAATATTTAACCAAATATTCAGCAAAGTATTATTTGGAAAGTTAGTTTTTGACAAAGTTATTTTTGGGGGATTAATTTTTAAAAAAATAATCTAAATTTGTATTTTTTACTATACATTATTATAAATAGTTTTTACATATATTTTTTAAGTTCTAAGACTTGTTAATTTATATTCTGAAAGACACATGGAAAAGCATAATTCGGAGAATTGAAACTTGATTACTGAACCATGAGTTTCGTGAAACTGATTTTATTATTATTTTTTTAAAAATTATATTCATCAAGTTAATTTCATCGTTTTATTAACACTTTATGTTTTAAAAATTGAGAACTTTTTTTTCGTTTTTGATTCATTTTTGCTTATTTTTCTGTTTTAACTGATGTGAAGTATGTTAATGGCGCGTTTCTAATATACTAAATTCCTTTATTGTTACGTTTTTTCCTTTACGGTAAGACAAATAACTAGTAACATAGAAAACTGTAATTCTCAAAGTTTAAGTAATATTTCAAAACTAAAAACAATTTTTTTCTGTTTTCCTTTTGATTTTTTTTATTAACTTTTCTTTCTATCAGTTTTTTTTATCATGACAGCATTTTTTAAACACCATTTCTAATGAACTTTATTTTTTATGGTAACTGTTTTTTCTATAAATGTGGCAATGTGAAAAGTTAAATCAAGACTTTTAGTGTTAAATCTTTGGTTTAAAAACTAAGAACCATTTTATTTTGGTTTTTATCTAGCTTTTCCATTTTCAAAAAAAACAAAACCATAATAATATTTTCATGTACTTTTTTAATATGATGCGGAAATTAAGAGGATTGATATTTAGACTTTAATCTTCACTTTTTCTTGAAAATACAGTCATTGGAAAATTTAAATATTCAGCTTCAAAATTTTCTTTCAATAATTAAGATCGATTATTATTTTTTGTGTTTCGCTTTTGCATATAATTTTTATTTTAATACAGGCGTTTCCATGATAGTGTTTAAAAGCATTTTTGATTGACATTATCTCTTTCAATATTCTATGGATAATTTTTTTTCTGGAAAATATTTTTAGTATTAAAGTATTGTTTTAAAAATTAAGAATATATTTTTTCAATTTATTATTTTTTAGCAATGTTACAACTTTATTTTTTTTAATAGCTTTCTTTATCTTAAATAGTTATGGGCTTTTAACCTTTTTCTGATTTTAAATTTTAAATATTGGGTTTTGATCATCTGTGTAAAGTGTACCATGTATTGATGGTGACGTTTGACGTTTTTGACTGACCATCTCTACTGGCCCTGCATGGCCATGTTGATTTTGTTTGAGTCTTTAGCTCATCTTATAAATGATCAACCATATGCTTTGTATTGTAGAGACACCACAATTGTCGACAAATTTGGGGATGATCTTGTGCAGGTTGGTTTTAACTTTTGAGCCACGTATTGTTTTAAATATAAGGGTCTGTTGACCTTATCCTAAGCTATAAAGTAATAAGGGTTTGTTGACCTATTTTTAACCATAAAGTCATAAGGGCCTGTTAGCCCAAATACCTTTTACTTTTAATTCTATAATGGCTCAATTTTAGCAGATGTCATTGATGACCTTTTTGGTGCTGTTACTTGCGATATTGCACTTTTTCTGTCGAGCTGTTGCCACTGACATCTGTGATTTTAAAATAATTGTTGTTGATATAATTTCTGGTGTTTTATGTATGTTTAATATACTCCCCTCCGCAGAGGATCAAAATTGTGATGGCATGTCTTCGGATCATCCTCCGGGATGTTTCCCAGACCGTCGCCAATAGCCCATTGTGCAGCTCTAGTGCAACGTAAATTAACAACAACAACAACGTTTAATATATGTTTCATGTATCTACACTCGTATGCCCCTAAATAGGGCAGGTCGGGTCACAAATAAACAATTATCTTAAATAGTTCTAATTATCTTAATCATTTCTATTGGAGTTTCTTCCCTTTACCTCATACCAATAATACAATGACTAAAGTTATTTCTAAATAAATAAAATATTTAATAATGATTTTTTAGAAGAAAAAAAAATTCAAGAGTGATATTAGTGGACAGTTTCTTATTAAATGGTGTTCATTGAAGTATAAAATTTTTTAGGCAAGCTACTATATAGTAGACCTGAAAATTTAAATTTTCAGTTAGTAGCCAGTAGACTTTAATAACTAAGTAGCCGCCTTTGGTCAAACCTAATGAGTCAGTATCTAATATCGATTGGTCCTTTTAATTTAATATCCACTTTTTACTAACTTATTCTTCTTGCCTAGATTAAATCATATTGTTTAAAAAAAATCCTATGATAAATAATCTACCTCCATTAAAAGTTTATACTACAATAAAAATAATATAAATATGCGTCAAAAATTAATTAAACATACTGATTTTAAAGAACTTTATTTAAAAAATATTTGGGAGGCAAAATAAATTTAATGTAAACATTACAATTTTGAAATAAGTGAATTGTTAAGGAACTTTCTTTGAACAAATTGCAGGATCAAAATTTTTTAATGGAGACAGTGAACATATTAATGAAAATTCTATTTATTTAATTTAAATCGCCACTTTTTTTACTCGCCACATAGCAGGTAGTCATTTTCAGGTCTATTATATAGTTATTATCATAAGGTCAAGAACCCAGCAGTAGAACTTAACAGTTACAGTTGGCATGCACCTGTATTAATATTAAAATATCCTCAAAAAAAGAATGTTTTCTAATGCATCAATAATAACTTATCAATAAAGCAAATTTTACTAAAATTAGCCATCTATCTCTTTATGATAGTAAATTAATTTATTCCATACAGTATAGAGCAGGGACGGGCAAACTTTTTTGGCCGAGGGCAAAAAATCGAGAAGAAAATGTTTGGTGAGCCAAGTAAAAATTCCAAAATTTAAAAAAAATAATAATAATAAAAAACAATATGATAATTTTAATTTAAATATTTAATGAGATGAATGAAATTGTAATTTCATTTTGAAAAGTTCCTTACATTGAAGTGCAAAGTGAGATGTACTTATTTTAAGAAACGAAGCTAATGCTAAATGCTTGTATGTTAGTCTACTTCTGAAATGATTTTTCCTAAAGTTCATTGCTGAAAACAAATGTTCACAAATAAAAGATTAAGCAAACTTAGCACTGACTTTCTGGGCAAGAAACATTAAATTTTGGAAGCAAGCTTTTGGTAATGATTCATAAAACTCAAACTTTGGCATATTTAGAAACTACTGCTTCAGATGATTGTTAGATTGTCGGCTAGTTGGAACTTAAAATGTGCAGTCTGCCACATGTGAAGTAAATTTCACCTATATTAGATTATAAAAGTCTACTCCTCGAGAAAGACAAATGCCAGTTGGAGCCAATCTATGGCGATTCTATAAAGAACTTCTGCTTTCAATATTTTACCAAATGAAGCTGTTTGTGCTAACTATTTCCATCAATTTACGTTTTGTAGAACAAAAACAGAGAAAGTAAAAAGGTCATCAGTACGTTGTTAAAAAAGAAAGAGCAGAAATAGCTTCAAACAAAGTTGACAAGAAAATGGATGTATATTGTTTATATTTACCATGGATCGGCAAGTTAAAATTCTATCAGCGGGCCGGATAAAACCTTTTGGCGTGCCAAAGTTTGAACATCCCTGATATAGAGCAATAATAACATGCTTATCAAATGCAAAAAATATTTCTTTATTGGTATCTATTTGGGGCAACTGCAATAGCCAAAATTATTTTAAAATATTTTTATAAAATTTAAAGATATTTGTCTGGGTGGTTACCACAAATAATACAATTTGAGTTGATATCCTTCCTTGATGTTTTAAATTAGTTTCCAATGAGCCATAGACCAGATCTCAGCAAAACATGATTATTTTGAGGGGAATTATAAATCGACTATGTCAACCTTTATCTATCAAAAAGTACCTCATGATAAAATCAAGTTAACATGCCTTATATACTAGTGAATTGGTATTCAATATTTATAGTGGTAGTTACGCCACAATTTTAGTGCAGGTACTGATACCGAAATCATCTTCAAATTCAAAGCAACAATAAATTAAAATTTATTAAACTTTGATTAATCACCCCCAGAAAATAGGAGTTATATAGGAAATATCGGGACATAAGCTTGCCATTAAAATATTTTGATTATCGTAGTATAAATTATAAAAGAATGGCGCTTTAATTCAAAAATTTCAACTTCTGTAATATCCACCAAAATGAAACAGTGATAATTAGAGAAAAGAAAACGGAAATTTAAATTAGTTAACGAATAAATTAATCAGCTACAGTTGCAATACAGAATAAAATATCAAAAAAAATTTCTTACAGTATTTATACTAATCTAGGATTTTACCTTATATACTCTTAACAAATGATATAATTACTGAATATTTCCTTGATTACGGTTTTAAGCGCCTTTTTGTTTCATTTTTGGGAGAAATAATTGGAGTTTTCGATGAATAACTAAAAATTTATTTTCAATCATGAAAATTTTGTTTATTTACATGCTAAGCTTCTGGCTACTTATTTCTTTCTTGAATGTCATTTTTACTTTTATTTACACTTGCAGGGTCAATTTTGATGATGCGGTTAGCTGGAAACACTTGCGTTTTCTCATGATTTATTACTTAATATAGAGTTAAATAAATATACAAATAAAATTAATAACAAGATTAGAAAAAGGTAGCTAACTCTCAAATGTTTCTTGATTGTTCACTCTCAATACATCCAATTCACATATGCGATCGCATGTGAATGCAATTCGAGCGTGCGTGAGCAGTTCGTTTAATCGGTAAAGCATAAACGCACTTAATGCGCTAAACTTCAAAAATTTGTGTTTTATTTGTATATTAAAATACTTGTTCTTACCATTCCGTTGGATAAACAAGTTTTCAAAAATACATGTATTCTAAAAATGTGTAGAATCGAAAATCCTGTGCTCCGTCACTGAGCAGTAACAAGGGCAAATATCCGGAGAAAATTTGCTTCCTCTTCAGATCTATGAGCAAATTGAGTAAGTGATCTCTAAAATTGTGATAGCATACTCATGAATGATACCCAAACCATCGCCAATAGCCCATTATGTAGCTCTAATGCGAAGTAAATAAAGTGCCTACCTGAACCAAAACTTTTTTTGATACACTTCATTTGATCGAGAGATAAGGGTGAGCATTCTCAATTTATGGACTTCCCACACCATTAATGGCCGTCAAAAGAAAAAGAGAACCTGATCAGCGATTATTTACGCGAATATTTTCCACTTATCAAGTTTTCATATTTCCTCGATTATGCTTGGAGAAGCATGAAACACATATTAGAAGAGAATGGATCTGAATACGCAAAATTTGAATCCGCGGTGGAAAGGATCTTTCGAGAATACCCTTCACCTATCGAAATCTTTTTTTTAAAGTGATTAGAGTTAGCATATTTTATATACTACTGAAACGATGTGTAATAATTGTAGTGGTAGTTACGCCACAATACTCCCTGATCAGAGTTTTATCAGGAATAGAATCCGATGAACAGATACCACTAAGTGGTGTATTTGCGACAGGCCGGGAGAGGTGTATTAAGTTGGCCAGATTTTGAGCTCTTCAGATGAGAACTGTATTTAGTTCACTGAGTTTTGAGCATTTGTCGTGGGAGCTGCATTAGGTTCACTGTTGTGTGTGTGATTGCTCCTATGTTGCTAGAAGCAGTCTAGTATGTTCAGGATACCAATCGTTATATCTATGTATATGTTACTTAAATAGTACAGACGATATTTTAAATAACAAAATCATACTCTGAAAATGTTTGGATGAACTCTATTTGGAAAATATAGTCCAAATAGCTTGGTCAGGAGAGAGATCCAAAGTTTGGACCCCTTAATGTTAGTTTCACTTTTTGCGTATTTTACCACATCTCGAAGAGATTTTATAAGAGTATTGCAATTTTTTTGCACCCAATTATAACATTTATTAATCCGAATGATAATCTCATGGAAAAAGTAATATTTAATAATTATTTTTTATTATTTTATTTAATAATTGTGAAAAAATGTGTTCTGAAAGGAACACAAATTTTAACATCATTTGAATTTAAATAGCAAAACGCGAAATTTAAGCGCATCCGGGTTGAGTTTTTTTTTGAGTATAAGTAAATATTAAAAGAAAAAAGTAATTTATTTCAAATTTGATTTCGCAAGAGCCATTCACAACCGATTTTTTTCAAACTTTGTATTCATTAAAGTGACACAAAAATTGTATACATTAAAATTATTTTTTTACTGTTATTAAATAAAATAATAGTTAAATATAAAAAAATTTAATTTTTTCATGAAATTATCTTTGGATAATCGAAATTTTTAATATTTTGCTAAACTTTCAATCGAATTTTGTTGTTTCGGAAAGGGTTAAAATTACATTACCTGTCAAAGTTTGTCTTTCATTACTATTTGTCTTCTATAACAATTTCAAGAACAACAAATTTCGAATGAAAATTCTTTGCTGGCAGGGTATTAGCAATAAGTATAATCTTAGACAATTTACTCTAAGTGACGTACTTTAGCTCTTTGTTGTTTAAAGAAAAGTGGAAGCTAAATATTAAAATGTAATTAGTGGTTTGAAATATTTATTGAATTAGTGTAGCCAGACGAGATGCGCTGCACCGGCAGGGGTGAAAGCGAGACTGAAAAGAGGAAAGGCTGGTAGTAAAACCATTTCAGTTATAGCTAGTTTTGGGGAGGAGTTTACTTATTCTTTTTTTAAATTTTTCAACATTGTCTACTTTATTTTGGAAAGGAAGCTGTTTTATATATATGCCAGAATTATAAAAGAAATCTTGATAGTTACAGATATTTCATTTTTTTTCGAAAAAAATGCTGGAATGAAATGTTTTACGCTCCTCAGGTTTTTCTCTTTTCCGTCTTGCTATATAAGGGCTTTCACCCATGTGCAGAAAGAGTTAAAATGGTTAAGTACAATGGTGGTCAAGATCATTGTAAATCAAGTTTGTTAAATTAAAACTGGAATGCATACCTGCCAACTCTTCCGGATTTTCCGGATGATTTTATTTTCATATTTGAAGTGGTAGTAAATATATACTATTTTTTCTTTCATAAACTTAATTTTTAAATGATTTTGATCACCACTATTCTTACAAAAATGAAGCACATATATTAATATGCGTTACTATCATGGTTGTCAACTTAAGTTTTCTCAAATACAACGTATTTGTTTGCTTAAAATTGAAGTTTTAATTCCATTTTAATACCACTGGGAAAAATAATAATGGAAGGGATTAAAAGTTGGCAGGTATGAAATATTAAAAGTAAATTTCCTTCGAAAACCGGGAGAAGTTCGCAAATATTAGGTCTTCAGAAAATTTCTGTCCTCGAAAGTACACGTCTTATTTTACATTAATGCGACAGGTTCTTTTATTTAAAAAAAAGTGGTACGTTATTTTTCCTTTTACAGGCCTGCCAATTACTATTTTTTTGTTAATTGCTTTATATAGTGGTAGACTTTCAAAAACCAAAGCTTTCTGAAATTTTTGTAATTTTGCCAATATTTTAAAAGCTTCAACACGATAGAGCTGAAACAAAGTGGGACTGGATATAAACTTTTAAATTATTTTTATGTAGTGGTGTGGAAAATAACTTCAAATTAATAAAAAAATAATACATTAAAGCATAAACTTAGGTACCACTGGAATAAGTTTTTACAAAAAGCGTAGAAAACTAGCAGCCTGACTTTAACTAAATAGTAATGTTATAGCTGAAAGAGAAACAAAATATTTGACGCAAAAGTTCAAACTTGTAACGAAAGTATGAGACAGAATTAAGCAAAATGGTATTTTCAGTTCAGTTTTTTTCCCGCTTGAATGATTATAAAGAACGTATAAACTGAACTCGTATCATAAACTGAAATGCATTATCGTCTTTTTCAAACCACCCCTTACGTACCAAAGAAGTGGGGGCACTAAGTAGTCACCCGAGTGAATTTCAAAACGTCCTGGTTAGCAATAAATTGAAATCGAAACTGTAGCTTGGAGAAACGTATTGCAGATTTAAAATCAGCAGCAAGAAAATATCGAAGATTTGTTCAAAAATCCAACGCACCAGAAAATAAAAAATTTTCTCCAGTGTGATTCGTTTAGTTTTAATTCCATAAAAAAAAGGATTTTTTTTCCATAATGATTTAAGAATTTATTTAAGAATTAAAGTACATTTTGCTTTTCACCTAAGTTAAATTACGTTTCGATTAAATTTCTCTTATTACATGTAATCAAAATGGAAACAACCTAATGAGTTAACACTGACTTAGAACAATTTCATCCAGGATGATATTTAATAAAATTTAGGATATATATATATATATATATATATATATGTATNACTAATTAGAAATTATCTTTTTTAATGCTGTATATATATATATATATATATATATGAGCTGACAAAATTTTATGACATTTGCTTACTGAACTATTATAATTCCTTTATTAAAATCTATGGATATCTAACAATAGAAATCCAACAACAGAAACGTCCAAGTCAGAGGCTGAACTAGATCAGAGTTCCACTATCATTCAATCAATTTCAGTTTGCTCAATTCCTATTGGACGATTCGTATTTCTATCACGTAAGTAACGAATTCTTATTGGTTGCATCTGTAACTGATTGATCATTGATGGTTTCCCAGTGGACGGGAAAGTGAAGTGACATCAGCTTAGACATCTCTATCTTTTGTTGGCAGCACTGCTTTTTGCAACCTGTGCGAGGCCAGATGTTTATCGCTTTTATTAAGCTCTTAATATTAATTTTCTTTTAATTTTTCAGAGCTATCATAAGCAAGACTTTTTAAAAAAAATTTTTATCACTCCCCATTATTAAATTCAATATTTTTTGTAAACAAGTCATTTGAAACCTGTATTACTAAAAAATGTGTTTTTGTTATTTTAGTTGGAGAAATTTATGGTATTTTTAAAATAAATGTGTAACTTTTAAATCTCCATCCATGCTTAAGGCTGATGCAAAAATGAAAGAGTGAAAAATATTTCTAAAAAAGATTTGAAAATTGGTTAGAAAATTCATTTTGTTGAAAAATTACTACATTTTGAATAAATAAGTGAGCAACTTTTCACCTGTAAAATATTGCAAAATGCCGGATTCAAAAGAGATTGCACAAATAAGCGAAGCAGATTATACAGATAGAACAAGTAAGTTAAAATTGAAACAATGATATATGAAATATATTTTTTTCATGGCAGAAGAGCTTGGATTTTTTTTTACAGTTTAATTCTAATGTTAATATTTTTTATTTCTGATAAAAATGCTGAGTGATAAAAATTGTGTCCTGCATATATAGATAAACCCCGCTCTAGTCAACACTGTTTATAGTGAACTCCCGGATATAGTGAACGAAATGTTCGGTCCCGTGCCTTGCTATGCACGTATAATGTGATTTTTTGTGGATATATTGAACTAAAAAAGTGAGGAAGTTGGATATTATGAACGGTTTTCTTTGATTGATATTTTTCCCTTTATTTTTTTTAATAATTTCGAAATGTCTACTTCAAAGTAAATACTTTTTTAAAACCATCTATAAAGTGGAATGCAGCGATAAGCGTTTTTTTTTTTTTTTTTTTTTTAAATCTCACTTTTCCATCCCTAAACAAAGGCCGACGAAGGCAGATGTATGGACACATTTTTCCCAGCATCAGCTAATGATTACTATTTTTTTTTTTTTTTTTGTATCGCNCAAGACGAACAGTAATAAGAAATAAAAGCAAGTTAACACTTTTTTTGTTACTACGTATTATTTTTCAGTCATTTCTGTGTTTCATTTTATTGGTCATTTATTTAAATAATGTATAATGAAAAGAAGGAGTTCGGAACTATTAGTTAAAATTGTTTGCGGACCGGATATAGTGAACAGAAATTTCGGTACCTTGAAGGTTCACTATATCGGGGTTTGACTGTATATTTAATCTGCTTTATAATAAAGCATACCTGCCAACTTTCAATCCTTCCGAGAATGGAGTTTTAGAGTAGTTGTAAAACAATAAACGAAAAACAAGCTGACTCAAAAATATATTCATATTTTGATCCCGTTGAAATTCGCTTGCGCAAGGATTATTATGCTTTCATATATTTATTGTAATTATTTATATGTAGCGGTGGTCAAACTCATTTATAATTATCATTATAATTCAAAAAGTTAATTGGAATAACCTGAGTATTGCTACCACTTTAAATATGAAAATAAAATCTTCCGAAAAATCCGGAAGAGTTGGCAGTTATGATAAAGGTGTTTACGAAATGTAAAACAAAAATTTCATTCTCCCAATTTTTTTTTTTTAGTATTTATATACTATGATATAATAATTAATAAAAGGGGAAGGTTGTGCGTTCATGTATCTCACATCTTTTCCTCAGAACAGTTTACGCTATCGTTTTAAATTTGGGCAGCAGTAGCCAGGGCCCTCGATCTGTCCCCGGTCCAAAAAAAAATAAAAAATCGTCCAAAACTTTTAAGTAGTTTATTGGGGATAACAAATCAATATTTATACTTTATAAATATATATTGTGATAGAGCCGTGGTGGCTAAATGGATAGAGTGTTCGCCTTTCGATGAGGTGAACCCGGTTCGAGTCCCAGCCTGGTGGCTGGTCGATACGAATTCCGCACCCAGCTTCTTCACAGGCCACTATGCTGGCGTAAAATATCCTCAGTGGAAGGCGGATCTTGAGTTATATTCTCCTTGCCGTCAGACTAACCGTTATAGGTTTTCATGGTTTTCCTCTCCATGTAACGTAAATGTGGTTTAGTTCCGTCAAAAAGTTTTCTAAGAAGACAAATTTCTCCCAATACTCGATCCTGGAGTTTCTTTGTTTTTTGGATTGGGTTCAAAATTTCAAGGTTATGGAATTGAACATTGGTAGTAGTAAACCCAAAATTGGGTCGGCTGTTCAACGACGGCTTAGAAATTAAATATATTGTGGCGAACACGAGTGTCTTTTATTCTCCTAGATAAATTTCAGAAGTGAAATAATTGAGTTACCTGCCCCTAACGTTTCGAGGAACGATCACGAGAACGTTGGCCATTAGAGTAATTTATCACATAGTAAAAAGTTAAAATAATAGAGGCTTCATAATTTCTTGAATTTAAAAGAAATTTATTAAAAAAAATTATTAAAAAATTTACGGAATGACTTCACAAGAAAATTATCTCGTAATTTAAGGTTGATTTTTTAATCGATCAAAAATTATAAGCGTATATAAAGCAGAAAGTACGTAAACAAAAGCTAAAGAAAGAAAATTTTAATAACTTTTCATTATTCAATCAAAAGTGAAAATAACTTTTGATCAGTCGATCAAAAGTTATTCAAGTTTGCTCCATTTGCAAAGTTTTCCATTGTCAAGTTTGAAAGGCTTGTTCCATTTGCTTACTAGTAACTTGTACTTTCGTAGTTAAAGATGTTAATATAGTTAGGTCGTTAATATTGTAATAAACCACATTTTCTAGCAGACAAACTTTTTTATATCAAACAATTGCTTCATATTGCTTTTTGATAAATTTTTTAAATAGTTTTAGGTTTTAACACTATAGGTATCAGTTTAAAACTCTGAAATATCTCATTGCTTACGAGAAATTGTTTTTCTTTTACTTATTTTTATATTTTTATTATTTTTTTAAAAGGAAATGTTTTCCTAGACAATTTCATATTGTAATTTATAAACATATTGTGTCTATACCTTCTATTTGATAGTTGAAGTAAAATGTTCTCATATTATCGAGTTATTTTATAGTAAAAATATTTAACCCTCATCACTCCAAGAATTTCGAAAAAAAATTTTCAGGCAAGTCCAAAATCTAAAATATCAACCCAAGTACTGGCCACATTTAAAAAAAAAATAAGAAGAATTTTCAAACATGTACAGTTGCATCAAGATATTGTAACAGCGAATCTTTTAGTTAATTTTTAAATTTTTTATGTCTTTTTATAATTCTGATACTGATATTCTGATAGCCCAAAAATCGCAACATTTTCAAAAAGCTTCAAAAATGCGTTTTAAACCATTTTAAAAATGCAAAAAATAGCAATAATTTCGCTGTGATATTTCTCCAAAAATGTGGTTTGGTGTAACAATAATAATTCCTAGTGTTGGCTTACATAATTATTAATTACAATGTAGGTTATATTTAATTTTTATAGCTTTTCCTGGAATACGCTATCTGTTCACTGTCATGTGTTTTCTTGGAACGCTCTTCTTGATTGCGGCGAGAGTTAATATGAGCGTGGCTATGGTAGCTTTGGTAAATAAAACAGCAATCTTCAATATGACACAAGTAACAAATGATTGCCCAAATCTCAAACTGAATAACATCACCGATCCAGCAAATACCATAAGTAAGGTATGTATGCTCAGTGGCTAAAGGTACTAAAGAGCAATTACGAAGGTTTGGGATTCGATCCTCACTCGTTGCTTGAAGTCCAACCAACTTCATATCGATAGGAACAGAATTCCTGGGAAATAAAGGCGGCTTGTGCACAATAGTGACAAAATCACGCTCTTTTCATTAACGTTGTGATATATATATATATATATATATGTGGGGGCGGCATCTGATACACTCTTACCTGA